CAGGCTGTGTGTTGTGCTCTCACTGCCCAAGGTGGGCCCTGGTGGATTATGTCAACACACACTGGGTACTTAGAGCTCTCCAGCAGTGAGAGGCTTGGGAGGTGAATCCAGCAGTGCCCCAACCAGGGAGGGGGCAAGGGGCCATGGCCCTCCCACTTTTGAAAGTGGATGGGCCTGGTCCGTCCACATTTCGCCACGTGCCCCCTGCTCTTCTTCTTCCCCCTGAAGCCCTGCCCCCCAGTCAGGCCAGAAGCTGGAGCCCGGCCCAGGTAAGATCAGCCCAGGCAGCTGTGGGGAGCCTGGCTTGGAGGCTGCTCTCGACCCTCACCTGCCCCCGGCAGGTGGAAGGACCTGGGTTTCCCGGACCAGCGCCAGCTTCTGGCTTGGCTGGGAGGTGTCCCCCCTACTTTTAGGTAGGAATCCGTTGCCCCTTGCCCAACTCATTGGAGGAGGAGAAAGAGGAGAGAAGGGGAAAGAACACGTAGAAAAAAAAGATAAAGAGGGAGTAGTCAGAACAGATAGGCTACGTCTACACGGTGCCATTACCGCCATGCCACTAAAAGGCACACAGTGTTGCTGCTGTTTGTCAGCAGGAGAGAGCTCTCCTGCTGACAAAACACTTCCACCCCCAACGAGTGGCATTAGCGTTGTCGAGCTGCTCACACCAGCGCTTGTCGACAAAACTTTTGTCTTTCGGGGTGCGTGTGTGTGTGTGTGTTTTTTTTTTTTTAACACTTCTGAACAACAAAAGTTTTGTCTTTCACTTGCCAGTATAGACAAAGCCTAAGCTAGTCTCTTCCACACTGCAGGAGCTGCAGAGGAGAAGGCTCTCACACCAACAGCATTTGGCATACATTGCGCCCGGTTCTTGTAGGGACCAGTTCTGAAAAGTGTTGAGTACCCTCAGCTCCCATTGACTGTAATGGGGATTCAGGGGTTTCAGCACCTCTTGGAAGCACCTTGCAGGATCAGACTCCTTGTCTGCAGTTAAGGAAGATAAGATAATCATGTGTGGCGCTGTCTCAGTTTGTCTCTTGCTGCTGATCCTCTCAAATCCCTAACTAGGCCAGTTGCTGAATTGTTTGTGGGGTGCAAGGTAAGGCAACCGTTACAGCATTCGTTAGTGTCCCTCCCATTAGTGACCAGGGCAGTGAGCTCAGCGATACAAAGCGTACCGAAGGGATTCAGTTAGACTGGGCAAAACTTTTCAACCAAAATTATTTTCTGATGAAAAACAAAGATTCAACAACACTAAGCCGTTTTGTGATTTGGTGTCATTTTTTTACCAAATTCCTGAAGGAATTGAAACAATTCATTTTGAGGTTTTATGATTCTAAACAACTTTCAGTTCAACTACATTAAAATACTAAAATCAAAATAAAATGCTTCATTTTGGTTCAAACAAAATCTTTAATTTGACTCCCAAATATTTATTTATTTATTACTTTTCAATCTGCCACGTATTTTGAAGAAGTTTTGTTTTAGGTTCGACGCAAAATTATGCGTGCTCTTTCTCTCGCGCGCCCCCCCCCCCCATTTCAAAATTGGCCACAAACTGAAAAATCCATTATTCGCCGGATCTCGATTCAGTGCTCGGTTAACAGAAGATGGAACTGCACTGCACTTGAGCTGTGAGATAGAAGCAGGACTTAGCCAGTCCCAAGCAGCACATGAACAACTATAGGCTTTTTAAATATACCTCATTTCTGTCGGGAAGATTTGAGATCTCGACCGTAAAATGGTACAAACTGCCTAGCTCAGTAGAGTCTGTGTAACTGGCACTCGGTGCATATGAGAGGTTCCGGGTGGTCCCTTTGCAAAATATGTTTTACCCCTCCCTATCTCCTCCCCAAAAATACCAAAGGACAAACATTGCTGCGAGGTGTGCCAAAGCGCATCTCAACTTGAAAAGCATTCATCCATCACCATTGCAGTCCCAAGGCAAATATGTAGTGAAATAAGACCCAGTAGATTCCTGCACATTAAAAAGAGATACAGAGACCCATGACCGAACACCACCATGTGATTCTGCCATAAACATCTCTAGGAGGTCCAGCTCTCTGCAGTGACAGCCATGAGCGTGTGAGGGCCTCTGAAGCTTGTGGTATATGATGATTCCAGAGAGAGAGTGCTGCTTACACAGAGAGTTGTTGTTGTTCTTATTAATGAGGATAGGTGATAAAATGGGACTATTTACCAGGTCAAACACATAGGGACATGCTTTTAGCTTGCATTGGACGCCTCCATGCCCTGGAATTGCATCCTTCTGAGAACAGCATGCAGCTGCACCCAGGGAAATGCATAGCTGCAAAGAAATTGGGCATTTTTATTCCTCCTCCTAATATGGGAGGTTGGGGGGGGAAAGCACTTGAGGGGCAAATTTAAAAGTGGGGCAGGTTTAAAGGACAGCACAGGCATTTTTTTAAAGGAAGGAAGGCTCTGGGAAAGGCTCCCTTTTTTTAAACCACCAAAAAGGTCTGCGTATAGATCTTATGACAGGGGAGCGATCCAAAAATTCCTCAGAATGAAAGGTCAGTCAGAGGAAAATGGCATTCGGGAGGACCAAGCTTATCACTAACCGAGTCATGTGACAGATCCAGAGTCAACGCCGCTTGCCATCAGGAGAATCGCATGTGCAGTGTGCCTGCAACAAGCCGCATGACGCCACTGGGAAACTATCTTGTTCCTCCCAGCCTAAAAATTTGTCAGGAGTCAAGTTGAATGTTGGAAGGAAAAGGTTTTTGAAGAAGACACTGCTGGGAGGGCCCAATTCCCCCTCCACTGTCCCCAATTGCCCTATACCACACATTCTTCCCCAACACTACTTATAGGCCAGTTTCTGACACCCATGCTCACTTTGAGAAGTACCTTGCTCTGCAGTTGATTTCAGTGTGGTAACTCACGGAGTTGAGTTCGACTCGGTTTGAGTAAGGTGGCAGAGTCTGCCTTTAACTTAAAGGGGGACTCTAAGATTCGATGCAAGATGTCAGCTAGCGTGTAAACTTGTGTGGATTTTGCCCCCCTTACTGATGCACTAAGGTACTATGCCATGTGAGGAAGGGTGGCAGAACTTGGGGCCAGGTCCTCAGCTGGTGTAGCTCCATTAAAGCCTATGCCCATAACTGATCACTGACAACGGGTGAATCCCCCAAATGTCTGGAAATGGGGTTAGACTCAGATCAGCCTTCAAAAATTCTGATGACTCTCTGAAGCTTCTCCAAAGTATCCAAACCTTTGTAGTTTGCAAAAATTGACTGGACTTTTGAGTTTCTCACAAGAAGAGCTTTGCTTGCAAGGCTTCCAGTCCTTAAGGTCCTTGCTGGAAACACACAACGACAGCTTTTCTTATGGTATTTTGACATCCCTTCTGGAATCAGGGGGGCAATATTACTTGAGAGACCACCTTTCCTATTGGCCTGTGTACAGCAGGTGACGGCTGAGGTGTGCTCTAACTGCCATCGCCTGGAATTTGGCTTTCCAGGACAGATGCTCTCAGGTGAGTGTCCCAGCCTTTGGGACTTGTTCACTCTTGGCAGTTCACCAGAGCCCAAATCTAATGAACTCAGGGCCTGATGTGAAGCCTTTAATTGACTTCATCAGGCTTTTGATTAAACCAATTCATTATTTTAGGGCTAGCTCCTGACAACTTTACTCACTTCCCACCAGCGTGAGTAAGTGTGAGAGAATCTGGTCTGTAGTCACTATGGGCTGGTTTATGGAGCCTACCTTACTCATGCAGAGAGTCTCATTGCAGTAACGGGATTTGCTCTTATAAAGAAGTGCGCACCAGCATAAGAAAGGACTCCAGCACAGATCCCATAGGAGTCGGGTCCTCTAAGGCGCTGAGCCGCTGTTGAGAGATGGTGAGCAGCCTCAAACCCATTGAAGCACAGTGGGGATTGAGGTCACTCAGCACCTCAAGTCATCAGACCCTATTAAAACCGGTGTGTCCTTATGCAGGAACAAGGCACTTATTGATCACGGCTGTTTTTGAAATGTTCTGAGAAAGAGGCTGGCTGTTATACTGGTAGGGGCTATAGAAGTTAATACAGCAATGAATCCAATAAAGACAATTATTTAATTAAAGAAACATACTTGAACATTTCAGCTTTGAATTTGATTCTCTCACTGGGGGACAGCTGACGGTTTGGGAGACCTTATCACTCCCCCACTCCAGCCCTAAAACGGGTTGGCCTGCCCTTGTATTTATCATTATCGTGCAGCACAGTATGTTCACGTTGCCACATTCCAGGACACCTTGTTATGCATGAAACTATCGCCTTGTACCAGCAGCAAACATTCAGCAGTCAGGCCAGCCCAATGAACTTGTCAAGAGAAGGTCGAGGCAATGGATAAAAATATCCCAAAAATTCATCATTTTGCATGTATGCGATGTTAACATGTCAGGATATCCTGTACCTTGTCATTAAGTAAATGCTACCCAGCAAATTCTTTGTGTCCTAGAACCATACTAGTGTACTCTTATGATTCCTGCTGCTGACAAAGCCCATCTGGTGACTATTAAAGGGAATTGCTATACATATAAACATAAAAGGATTATAACTCCTTGTTTTAAGTACCAATGCTGTTACTAATTCTGGCTTCAGGATTTGTTATGTTTAAAACAACCAGTAGTCTGGGTATCTGGGAACCAGTTCCCCGTGACATAAAAAAGGGGTGGGGGAGGTCTGGGGTGGGGGGGAAGGGAAGGAAGAGAGAAATACAGCTGATTGCCATTGGCAGGTTAACGCAGTTGGTTAGACCAAGGTGATAAGAATGTCTAAGTTCTGGATTCAGACCCTCCATGGGCTGGTATCTTCTTTGTTGTATCTGTCTGTTGTCTGTTTTTTTTCACTTTGATGGTAATCTCTTTTCAATAAGTAACTTTTGTTATATTTGTAAAGGGCCCCTATTCATGACCGGTGGCTTGTAGATGCTACGGTGATAGAACTAGTTCTGATCATATTAATTATTGTTTTTTTCTTTCCATTCTTTGTTAGGCCCACCCAGAATTGCTGATAAAGTGATCCACCGGCAGTCCGTGAGGTTAGGAAGAACCATCAAGCTCCTGTGTCCGGTAGAAGGTGACCCGCCACCTCTGACTATGTGGATGAAAGATGGACGGACTATCCACAGTGGCTGGACAAGGTTCCGGATCCTGCAGCAAGGACTGAAAATCAAGGAGGTGGAAAGTGAAGATGCAGGAACATACATCTGCAAGGCCACCAACGGCTTTGGCAGTATGAGTGTGAACTACACCCTTATTGTGATTGGTAAGTGCTGCAGGAGGAAATGTAAATCTTCCCTTTTTTAATGGTAGCGGAGAAGTTTGATTTCTTTTCACCTGGCAGTGATTGCAGGCCCTCTTTGCTAATCATTTACTGACCTCCACCTAAATGGCCCATTCCAGCGCTTGAGGATGGCTAAGGCTAGCTACACTGCTGCACATCTCTTGCATTGCAGTCAGCAGCCGCAAGATAAGATTATGGAGTGCCAAAGGTTACAAATAAACAGAAGTGATGCAATAATCACTAGGGCACAGATCACAACGAATTCCACACAGGAAAGGCTGAGTGATAAGGGGAGGTCATGCTGATCTTTGTGTTTGCTGCTGGAACAGGGTAGTTCTCAAAACGAATTTTAACAAGCCCATATGAAAGGGCACAACAAAGGGATTTGTGCAGTGAGCAGTTGCAGACTATGCTAGGAATAAATCTAGCTATGGTGAAACTAGGCACAGAGCTAACACTGGGCCCTAAGGGTCCCAAGTTTCCAAAGAATCCCCATCAGTGGGGTCAGGATTTAGAATGGGTGTGCAGAGGGCCTCTGTCTTTGAAGGAGAGACCACAGGGGCTAGCCTTGCCTGTGTATTCCCCCAAAATTCTCAAGACCTTGGCCCAGATGTTGGGAATCCAAGATCACATGCTGGGTTTGGGTCGATACTTCTGAGGGCCCAGGAGAGGCCTGAATGCTTTTTCCTTCATTCTCAGTGCTCAGAGTGTCCCCATGAATTGCTGACAGGAAATGCATCCAGCTCTCCTTAGCTGGAGGGAGAGGGCTGGATAAAATGTGGCATGTTTCAGGGTGCAGAGGGAGGAAAGGAAAGAACTAGAAGGTGGGAAGATGCTCGAGGCCTCCACTCACCCACCTTCTCCCGCAGCCAAAAGCCTCCCTAGCCAGCATGAATACTTAGCCCACAAAGTCCTACCTCTTTCTCTGCTGATTTTAAACAACCAAAAGCTTCTTGCTGATGAGAGCAGCCTTGCCTGTGAAGACAGAAGAGCCCTGTTTGAACTCTAACCTGCTCCTGCCTTTTCTTCCCTAAACAACCCCAAACTCATGCCAGAAACCAGATTCATGGCTCTTTGTCCAAAAAATCTCTAGGGAGAGGAAAGGGGCTGATCGTGCCACTCTGCAGAGTGCTTAGGGGAGGGGAAGACAAAAGACCACTTTTCCTGCCCAGATGAAGGAGCTGCTGGCCTGACGCAAACAAAGCTGCTTATCCGGCCTTCCCGAGGGAGCCCTGCAGGAGAGCATAGGAGGAGGGGAGAGTGCGCCTGGCATCCCTGCCCAGAAAAAGTTTAGAAATAACCTGTGCCTTGCAGAGCTGTTTGCAGAGATGTGCACAGTACGGTAGCCAAAGTGCTGGGAGTGAGGAAGGCACAGAGGGACTGAGGACAGAATTCTTTAGAAACACCAGCAGATGGGGCACGTTTCCACATCAGCTCTGCTGAAACACTGGGCACAGGAGTCACAATGAGAGCTGTGTGGTGCTGAGCGCGTCTGCAAACCTGGCCCTTACTTCGGTGGCCAAATGGGAGCTGAAGCCTCTTGAAAATCCGGCCCTGAGCTCTTTTGAAAATGTGCTCCTACGGGACTTGCCTAAGGTCACCCAAGAAGACTGTGGCACAGTTAGGAATTGAACCCCAGCCCTGTGCTTTAACCACAGGGGTAACTTTCCCCTAGGCTCAAGTCTCTTAGAGTGTCTACACAGCAGTGGGCAGGTGTAATTCCCAGCACAGGCAGACATACCCGCGTTAGCTCTGCTCAAGCTAGTGCCTAAAAATAGAAGTGCAGCATGGCTGGCAGCTTGGGCTAGCCTTCAGAGTATGCACTTGGGGGTCAGACAGGATTGCACGCAGGCGGCTGCTCTGTCCCGCGCCAGTCACACTGCCATTTTTAGCAGGTTAGCTTGAGGTAAACTAGCACGTGACTGTCTGCCCATGCTTGGAATCACACCTCCCAGCTGCTATGTAGACATAGCCTTAGTTTCCATCTGAGGAGAGATTAAAAAGACTGGGACTGTTCAGTTTAGAAAAGAGACGACTGAGGGGAGATAGAATAGAGGTCTATAAAATCACAAATGGTGTGGAGAAAGTGAACGGGGAAGTGTTATTTACCTCTTCACGTAACACAAGAACCAGAGGTCACCCAATGAAATTAATAGGCAGCAGATTTAAAACTAACACAAGGAAGTACTTCTTCACACAACACACAGTCAGCCTGTGGAACTCATTGCTAGGGGATGGTATGAAGGCCAAAAGTACAACTGGGTTAAAAAATGAATGAGGTAAGTTCCTGGAGGATAGGTCCATCAATTTCTCCTAGCCAAAATGGTCAGGGACTCAACCCCATGCTCTGGGTGTCCCTAAACCTCTGACTGCCAGAAGCCGGCAGTGGGCGACAGAGGATGGATCACTTGATGATTGCCTGTTCTGTTCATTCCCTCTGAAGCATCTGGCACTGGCCACTGTCAGCAGATAGGATACTGGCTTAGATGGACCATTGGTCTGACTCAGTTTGGCCATTGTTACATTCTTAGTTTTGAAAAGCTAACTGCTCTTAAATAAAGTAACTTAGGCTGCATGACTGAAGAAAACTATCAGATCCTGGGAGCCGAGCCTGCCTCTTCTTTAATGCCTGTAAAGCACTGCACACACCTATAGCATGGCAGGGCCCATAATGACTTTTAAATTTCCTTTGGGAAGAGGAGTTGAGGCTTGAGGCCTGGGATCTGCCCAGTGTGAAATGCCTGTGCAGTGCCAGGGCTGAGGAAATGAGCACAGCTTTCGGGAGCGCTGTGCTGCTAACTGATCCGACAGCAGCTTTAGAGACAGGCTGAGGGAATTCAGTGAATAGGAGCAGATGATTAGTGACATATGGCTGATAGAAGAGCAGAGCGGGAAGAGGGGATTCCCAGCTGTGGGAATTGTAGGATGAGTCACTGAAGGCACAACAGGGGGAGCAGGATGACATGAAGACAGTAAATAGATAATAGCAAAGGGCTAAATTTGCCTCATCTTGTGTGAGTGTCCGGGGGGCAGAGGTGATTTTCCCATCCCCAGGAAACCTGCCAGAGAGAATGGGCCCCATTGGGTGCTACGTAGGGCCTGGATAATGTGCCCAGACGTAGCTTCTTCTAGCACCAAAGGAAGATGACTAGGTCGTTTGCAGGCACAGTCACATCTCCACCTCTGTAAACTGGGGCCTGTAGGGAGTGCTGCCGAGCCTGGTCTCCTAAGCCATTCTGCCTGGCAGTGGGGTGGCATAGGTGTAAATGAGGTCAGATATTGGCCAAGTGTCTATCTCCGTCACTAAACTCTTCTCTGTCATTGCTGCCCAGGTCGGCACAACGACTGCTGTACGACAGTTGTCTGATTTGATGTTTGCCGGGTAGGAGAAATAGTTACAGCTTTACTGTGTATGCTGAATGACGTAAGCAGGCACCGGGGCGCCTTGATGGGGGGATTGTAATAGTAATCAGGTGATTTTTGGAATTTGCACTTTGGTGGAGACCTCCAGGCCCCTTAGAGAAGAGAGACCAGGAAATGCTTTAGCAGGGTAGAGGTGCTTGTGAGAAGGGAAATCCTCAGGTAATAGGATTTCAATAATGTCAGCTGTTGACTGGGATAACAACTACTCATACACTAAGAGCCAGCTTTGCCTTTGGACATCCACACCGGCTTCTCTTGACTCCATCCTCTGTTCATTGAAACACCTTGTCTCCTTCATCCTTAGTATAACAATTTTGTTGCTATTATGGAAAATTAGAGGACCAAGAGCCTTCTCCTTTTCACTCAAACGCAGTTCATCTTCACTGCTCTTCTATACCCCCGACCTCCAAAATGTTATTTGTCCAAAACCCACCTGTATCTTTTCAGGCTGCCATCAACTTGTCTGACCGTCATACCCTAGTCACCGTGGCTCAGTAATTAGGCATCATTCCCAATGTCCTGCTAATGAGCTCATTGCTTCTACCACTGTGTAGTTACACACCAAATAACACTAGTAGCGACTGAAAGATGTTATCGTCCAATGGCTGTCTGATGGCCCATGTCCACATCGCATCCCCCTTCCACACCAGCATTGGTTCTTTTTTGTTTGTTGGGGTTTTTTTGGACTTCAGCAGCCTCAGCAGAAAGGGCAAAGAGTGACTAGGCTTTGGAGAGTTAACTCATCTCTCACCGCTGGAGATGGTACTTTGGCATATTGATGGGCGGGGGGGGGGGGGGGGGGGGGGGTGCTATGGAGCTTGCATTGCCACTGCCTGTGCTTTACCCATTCTGTGAACCTTTGGATACTGTTCTAGCACCTTACATGGGATCTAAGGGCCCACCCCAACTCCCATTACAATCTGCGGGAAGACTCTCCTGCATTTTACTGGGAGTTCAATCAGGCCTGAACTGCGCTTGTTTAAAACAAACAAACAAACAAAAAAACACAGGGGAGGGATGAAAAATCAGAGGCCAGGAAATGAGACTTAGGGACTAACGCTGAATTGGAGGTGAGGCAAAATCTCTGAAGATATCAGGCTGCTTTGGTAAGTTGTATCATCACACAAATTGTATTCAGAGTAGCAGCCGTGTTAGTCTGTATCCGCAAAAAGAACAGGAGTACTTGTGGCACCTTAGAGACTAACAAATTTATTAGAGCATAAGCTTTCGTGGGCTACAGCCCACTTCTTCGGATGCATATGCGAAGTAATATATGAAAGTTTACACAGCACAAATACTAGCTAATTAGGCTCTGATCTTGCACCCATTGAAGCATATGACAATACTCCCATTGACCTCAGTGGGTGCAAGATTGAGCCCATGTGGAATTTAAAAGAGCTAGACATGAAAAAGATAAAACGTGTATTGAATAGTGTGGTGCCGAAGCTTGTGGTAGAGTTAAGTTCAACGGGAGAAGCTTGTGCCAAGTGGTCATTTGCCTCCCTATATCTTGATACTAATGCTGGCTAAGAATAGCATCTCTTAACTTCTTAGGTTGT